GCAATAATCACTATCAATCACTTAAATTCAATTTGTTAGAATCAAACGCAATTTGTTTGTAATAATCAAAACAAGAAGTCAACAATTAGGTCAACAATTTTCCCCTTTTTGATTATGACAAACGAGATGATTTTTGCAAAATGAATATTGAACAAATTAAATTGGCATCAAATAATCAGGAGCATAATTTTGTATATTGTAAGTAATATTCCCCCTATCGACGTGTATATAACATTTAATAACATTCTCCCTTACTACGTTGTTCCTATGTAGCATAATCATCTGCTCATCTTCCCCCTTTTGACATAATCAAAAAGATATAATAGGTTAAATAGCATAAAAATAGCATTTAAGAAGTCAACCATCCAAAATATAAAAGAGAAATAGATAACATCTAACATGAGAATAATAGTAGGCAAGAAAAAAAACTACGGAGTCGGAGGTGGGGGTGGAGGAGGAAATCTAGCATAAAACTCGGTGAAAAATGCAATCTGCTGAGCCTGCATCTCATCCTGTCACTGCTACATCTCAAGCTGCTACTGCTGCATCTCAAGCTGTCGGTCCTGAATAGATATCTGCTAAGCCTGCATCTGGAGAAGTAGGCTACCCATGCCATCGACCGATGAAGTAAGAGAATTAATTCGCCCATGGAGGAGATTATATTGCTCCTCGGTAAATGTGGAATGCTCTCAGGAAGGAGGAGGCACACTCAAGCCTAGAATGTCACACGCAGGAGCAGGAACTTCAGGTATTTCTTCGTCGAATTCAGCTTCATCTTCGAATGGGAAAGTGGATGGACCGGATGTAGGATCGAACCCTTTCGTATGAGCCACCCATTGCCCATGTTCCTTCACTATTTTCATCCGTTTTAAGGTCTGAATGTTAATAGTATCGGTAGGACGTAATTTTATAAAATCTTCACCATCCAATGAAACATTAAAATGCTTAAATTTTTTTGTGAGAAGCATCCCGTAAGGTAAAGCTTTGGTGTGTCGTAATGCATGCACAAGCTTCATAAGGCCAAGTGCAATAGTAGGAAAATCAATTTTACGCCCGACTAGTAGAGAATCCAAAATAAAGNTTTGAAAAACTCAATTTTAATAGTTATATCTTCTGCAGTAGGCTCCTCTACGCCAATCACCACGATTACGTTTGCAACTCAAGTCTCAACCACCCCTAAAACCTACAGGAGGCAGCGGGAAAGTCACAGCATCCTCCTCTGGCAGTCTTCTATTATCGGACTCGTTGGTACTATTTGGTAAGTCATTTATCTTCCCCAAATTCCAACCGATCGACAGTAGTCATGGCATGAATCTGATTCTGATGCTGTCATTATGCTTCTGTACTATCTATCAATTTGTGTTTCTTGCAATGTTTGATATCCAAGATTTGATCAGCCGACTTTGTCTTCATGATTCTGATGCTGGCATAGTGGCATTCTTCTTTAGTGCTTCTGTTAATTATTATTTAATATTTATCAATTTGTTTTGTTGAGACATTTTGGGTATGAGATTCGAATTGATTTTTTCGTTTATTTGTTGCATCTTGATTCTCAAACTTGAAGACAAGTTAAATTGATTTCAATTGGTGAATGAAATTTTTAAATTTGTCCATTAATGATGAATGATTAATGATTAATCCTGCTATGTTAAAGTAATTAAACGGCAAGTGAAATGTGATTCTGTGAAGTAAGTTGCTTGTGACTGTGAGCAATTGTAATCTAGACTCTAGCATTCCAATTTTTGTGTTGTGGGGGTTTGTGAAGATAGAAGTTGATGATGATATGATGAAATAGGTAAGGCTAGTGAAAGCCCAAGAATAACTAACCAAAAGGGGGTGAATTGGTTATTTGAAACTTTTTCTAAAATAAAAGCAAATTTAAACAAATAGCTATGAATAAACAAGACAACACAAAAATAATAAGAGGAAGGGAAAGGGGAGTGCAAACGATGTAATAAGGAGGTTCGATCAAATCACGATCTACGTCCCCCATTACCAAACTCTCCGTCACGATTAAGACCTTTTTCACTATCTTTGATTGATTTATGGTGCAATCCAACCCTTA